ATTAAAAAAAAAAAAAAAATTAAAAAAACAAAAAACTAAATAAACCCACCAAGCAGTTATGTTAGCGGTAGAATGTTCTAGAAAGAAAACTCGATCCCTCTTCTATGTGTATTATGGGGCAGGGAGGCCATCCCACCCTACCTGCCCCTGCTTACTGGGCTCCTGCTCGGCGTCCATCTTGGCCTTGAGGAGCATCCGCAGCCGGGACACCTCTTGCCGCTTCAGCTCGTCCAGCTTGGTGCGGACATGATGGCTGACAAAGTCCAGCTCCCGGCTCAGCTTTCCACTCTGCCCGAATAGGGACGAGACACTGGTCAGGCTGGGAGCCTGGGAGGGGGCACACTGGGAGGCCTCATCCTTTCTCTGCCCTCTCCGGAACTTTCTACCAGCTTTTGGATGCTGGAAAGCTTATAGACCCATACCTGCCCCCAGAGCCTCCGACATAAAATCCCAACCCCTCAGCCTGGCATTTGAGGCCATGCCCACCTCTGTAGCCCCATCTCCCATCATCCATCAAATCGCACTTCCTTCCGGCAACACTAACGGGGCATCGGCGCCTACACTCAAGGCTCCTTCCCACCTCTTGGCCTTTGCACACGCTGGTTGGTCCCTCTGCCTAGGATTCTCTTCTGCCACCACTTTTCAAGTCTAAGCAGATCCTCACTGCTCTTCACAATTCAAAGGGCGGGGGGCGCCTGGGTGGCTCAGTCGGTGAAGCGTCCGACTTCAGCTCAGGTTATGAACTCATGACTCGTGAGTTCGAGCCCCCCGTCGGGCTCTGTGCTGACAGCTCAGGGCCTGGAGCCTGCTTCGGATTCTATGCCCTCTCTCTCTGCCCCTCCCCCACGCACGCTGTCTCTGTCTCTCTCAAATAAATAAATAAATAAACTTAAAAACAAACAAACAAAAACCCTCAAAACAGATGGCACCTCCCTTGGAAAGAAGCCCCCCCCCCACTAACTCCCTGTCCCCCAATACACACACCCCTGAATAGGGTGCCTTCCCTGAGCCCCCTTGACTGTCACTACAGATTATGTCTGTTTCCCAGAGTCAACCCCACCCCTCTCCGCTCAAGGCCCCCAAACCTCCCCAGTGCCCACAGGACAGAACCCCTGTCTCAATAAAATCTCAATTTATTGAGAGAGACAGAGTGCAAATGGGGGAGGGGCAGAGAGGGAGGGAGACCCAGAATCCCACGCAGGCTCCGAGCTGTCAGCACAGAGCTCGACGCGGGGCTCGGACCCACGGATCCTGAGATCGTGACTTGAGCTGAGGTCGGACTCTTCACCGACTGAGCCACCCGGGCGTCCCCGACTACTTCATTTGTACACACAGTTCCCACTGTCTGAAATGCCACCGCCCCACCCCCCCACCGCAACTCTACACCACAGACCTTCCCACTGAGACTTTATACCTCACTTGGGGGCATCCATTTTCTAGAAACCCTCTCTCACTTGTCAGACTGGCCTTGGCCCTCCCTGAGGCCTCCCCAGCACCCTCTACGATCTGTCATTGCTCAGCCCGCTTTCTCAGTCACTCGAGACTCACACGGTCTCTCCAGCCCGCCTGGGGCGTGGCCCTCGAGAGGCAGCAGTGACAGTCATATTAACCTCAGCCAGTGAAGCATCTACTATGGGTCAAGCCCTGTGCCGGACTCCCTGAGTCTGTCCCCTAATCCTGCCTACAACCTCATTTTACAGCTGGGTAAACTGAGGCCCGGGCGGAGACGCCACTTGTCCCAGGGCCCTCAAACAGCGACTGGTACCAGATCATGTCTCCCCACATCCTTTTCCTGCTCTGGACCTCAACACTGGAGCGGAGAGGTGCCTGGGTGGCTCAGTCGGTCACGCGTCCGACTCTTGGCATCGGCTCAGGTCATGATCTCGCGGTTTCGTGAATTCGCGCCCCACGTTCGGCTCTGCGCGGACCCCACGGAGCCTGCCTGGGATTCCGTCTCCCTCTCTCTCTCTGCCCCTCCCCAGCTCGTGCACTCTCTGACTCTCTTAAAATAAATAAACTTTAAAAAAAAAAAAAAAATGAGGATTACCTCAGTTCCTCGGGAGGCCTTCCGCGAGCTAGAGGTGGTGCTAGCTAGTGCCCCCAACATGTCCAGGGTTTGAATTCTTCCCGAGCAGAACGCACGACACTGAACATTCCGGGGAACCAGCACTCACACGGCAGGTCCGAGGACCGCTACCCCGCATGCCTCAGCCCTTTGTGCGTCTTACCCTTGGATGATCCTAACCCGAGCCCTGTCATGCAGGTTCTAGTTCTAACCCTCGGTTTTACAGATGGGGAAACCGAGGCACCGCGAGGGGCGGTCACACAGCATGTAACGGAGCCTGCGCCCTCTGCAACTATGCTTAACCACACGTTCTGTGGCCCCTTGAGAGAATCCAGTCCGTTCCTGGACTCTGTCCTCCGAGCGTGCACCCTGCCTCCTCTTCCCCGCCCAACCTGGCTCGCGCCCAGCCGCACCTTGATATCCTCGGCGTTGGCAGCCTGCAGCTTCTCGCGGAAATGCCCATCTGTCTCCAGCACATTGATGACTTCCTGGAGATACCGATGGTAGTAGAGGCCTGTGTCCTAAGGCAACAAGAACGAACATAGCAGCCCAGCCTTCACCCTTCTCCGGCTCCTCCCTGCAGGTAGGACCCAGGCCCCGCTCGCCTGGGCACCTGCTGAAGGACCCAGAGACACCCTGCTTGGAGCAAGGGGCAGGCCTGCGCCGTGGCACAGAGGCTCTGGGGCCAGCCGACCCCAGTTCCAATCCCCATCTGCTCTGTAACCCCAGGCAAACAGCCCGATCTTCGGGGCCACGGCTCTCCTCTCTTCCCAGGCCTGCAGTGGAGACGAAGTGAAAATCACGTGGGTAGATACCCAGCCCCAACACCGAGCACAGAGTGGGTGCTTAGAGTGGACACACCAGTATTTGTTCGCAAGTGAAATATACCCTCATTCATCATTCATCAAGCGCTCACCGAGCCCCTACCGCGTGCCAGGCACTGGTACAGGGGATATAACTGAACAACTGAACAAGACAGACAAAAACCGCTAGGCTCCTGGACCCAGACCTGCCCCTTGTAGATGGCCAGCACACTCTTCTCCCCGGGCCTCACTCTTCCGTTTTAAAATAGGCAATAAGGGGCACCTGGGTGGCTCAGTCGGTTAAGCTTCTGTCTTTGGCTCAGGTCATGATCTCGTGGTTTGTGAATCTGAGCCTTGGCATAGGGCTCTCTGATGCGAGCACAGAGCCTGCTTCAGATCCTCTGTCCCCCTCTCTCTCTGCCTCTCTCCCGCTTGCATGCTCTCGCTCTCTCAAAAATAAATAAACATTAAAAAAAATTAGGCGGGGTGACTGGGTGGCTCAGTTGGTTAAGCATCCGGTTTTTGATTTCGGCTCAGGTCATGATCCCACAGTTTGTGGGATCGATCCCAGGTTGGGCTCTGTGCTAACACCACGGAGCCTGCTTGGGATTCTCTCTCTCTGCCCCTCCCTCCCCCATCTCAAAATAAATGAATAAACATTTTTTAAAAACAGGCAATAAATTGGGGCATCTGAGTGACTCAGTCGGTTGAGCCCCCTGACACTTGATTTCGGCTCAGGTCATGATCTCACCGTTTGCGAGATCAAGCCCCACACCAGGCTCTCTGCTGTCAGCGCAGAGCCCGTTTCAGATCCTCTCCCCACCCCCACCACTCCCCTACTCACACGTACGCTCTCTCTCTCTCTTAAAAATACATAGGGGTGGGGCGCCTGGGTGGCGCAGTCGGTTAAGCGTCCGA